GTTGGGCAATCCTACTTCCGTAGTGATACTGCCTTGGAAACCCAAGGAGGGGTCGCTATGAGTCGGGGCCGACTCGACGGCAAGTAACAACAACAAATCATTTTTAGTACCGCCAGTGCAAATGTCAACACGTTTGCAAAAGCAAATGATGCCTTCGTATTATTATGAAAATAGTTTTGACCTTTTGAGAACTACTGCTCTATAAAATAAAGAAAACTAGCAACAAACAAGGAACAAATATATACTTGGAAAGTGAAAAGAGGAAATGCTCAGGAATCACATATTAAGCCCTAGCCAATTAAATGAAGAAGTCGTCTACAAAATTATCCTCATTTCAGAATCACCAATATTCTGGGTTTAGTGTTCTTGTTTGTTTGTTTTGTTGTTGTTGTTGTTGTTGTTAAATCCAGTCTAATACATCTTTAAAAAAAAAAGAAAGAAAACTCTGAATCAATCAAGTTTCTCTTCATAGTGAACCCTGTCTGTTCTTTGGGTTTTTTAAATTATGCTGCCCAAATAAAATATAATTTTGTTCAATATTTGAATGAGTCATTGGATCCCATTTGTATCTTGGAAGCAGGTTACTCCTAATAGGATCAGAAAACACTGCCACTGGCAGATTGCAGGTAATTATAATCTACAAAAATGGACATTGAACCATGAGTACCTCCACGTTATGTTTTATATTAAAGAAAGAACTATAAGACAAATTAACATAGTCAACCATACTAACTAAAGGGGCAGAATGTTAGAAGGGAAATGCTTTCAGAGTAATTTCACTCAATACTATATATGAAAAATATGCATGCAAATTCTGCTTCCATTTGTCATAATAAAGCTGAGTATTATACAGGTTTCCTGTGGCAGAAATAATTTCTAGCATGCTGCTTACTGTTTAAGTTAAAAGATCAGAGCCTGCTTGCCATTTATTCAAAACAAATCTTAAGTATGACTAAGTCAAAATAAAAAGTTGAAATGTTATGTAAAATGTAAAGATTAATAAATCAAGTGATTATTTTTTAAAATATAGAAAACTATTATTTAAATATACCTAGTATATAACAGAAACCTCTAATAAATACTAAAGCAAACATTCAGCCTTCAGTTTGCCTTTTGTGATGTTTCAAATCTCAATATGCCACGCAGGACAGGGTCGAGAGGTGTATCAGGAGCTATTATGGAGGTCAGCCTATCAGGGAGGATATGAGATCACAGCAGGCTCAGGTGCTTAGGACCACTTCCCATTAAGGTTCCAAATAAACGCTCACTTCAAAAAAAAAAAAAAGAAGAAGGGTTCTACCTGGTAGCTTTTTACAAGTTTGAGAACCACTGCTAAGGAGAGGAATTGCTTAATTGTGAAACCACTACATTGTATGTAGAATGCAAATCAGAAAGGTACTCCAGATTAGAAGTTTACCTAAAAACCAACTGTAAGTTTAACAAGGGCAGTGGATCGTGTCTGCTTCCCCCCATGAATACCTAGCATCAAGCATAGTGCTTGCCTAAAAAGACACTCAAATATTTGGTGAATGAATGAACGGCTGATGAACACAGGGAAAGGAAATGATGGTAAGGGAAAAAACATGAATTACATTTTATTATCTAAAAAGATGGCATCCCATCAAATGAACTTCATTAAAAGTACAAAAATGGGTAAGAATATATTTAATATAGCTGAATATAATTAACCATGCATACCCACCAGGCTTGATGTCCTTGTAAACAAAGTTTTCCAAGCCATATATGAACTCCCCTGAATGTGTGCCTGCATCCGCACGGCAGCAATAACCAAAATGCAAAGCATTTAAAAGACATCTTCAATTTCACACATAAAATATGCTTAAAGAATTAGAAATCATATACAACAGAATTTAGTTCTAAGGAAAACACAGTGACACCATTTCAATTCTTTCAACAAATGACCTATATTTTTATAATATTAAATAATTAATAATTAAAAGTTTTAATAATTTTAAATTTAGAAAGCAAGGTAGAAAAATATCAAACATGGCTAATGTCCCATTGAATTCTTTGACAAACTTTCTAACAGAGTAATAGTCCACCGTTTGGATTCTCTTTTTGCTTCCCATTCTGTCCATTTTGAGAATAAAATATTGTTGTGACATTTGATACAAATTTTAGAGTAAATTTAAATGACCTCATCTTTATTGTGATCTCTTCCCTTTAGATACACTGTCTGAATCCTTTATACCCATTCTTGTTAATGATCGCTAAATAGTGCCATCTTCCACTTCCTTCCCCAAATCCAACCTCCATACACTATGCGTTGACTTCCCTAAACTGGAACTCTGATCATGTCACTCTCTATTCTCTTTTTAAAGAAAGAAAGAAGAAAAACTTAAAGACTACCCCACTGGCTACATATTGAAATCCATTATAACATGGGATTAAGAGTACAAGATCTAGAGCCGTATTAGGTTCATTCTAGCTCTACCATTTTCTAACTAAGTGACCTGGGACAAGTTATTAACTTTCCGCTTCCTCAATTGTAAAATGGGAACAATAATAGCACGTGTATCATAAAATTGTGACTGTTGTTGTTGTTATGTGCCGTCGAGTCGGCCCCGACTCATAGCGACCCCTCCTTGGGTTTCCGAGGCAGTTATCACTACGGAAGTAGGATTGCCCAACCTTCCTTCCGAGGAGTGGCTGGTGGGTTTGAACCACCAGCCGTCTGGTTAGCAGGCAAGTGTCTTAACCACTATGCTACCAGAGCTCCCATTAAATGCATTAATTCGTACACAGCATTCTGAACAAGGGAAAATAATAAGTTCTCAACAAATGCCAAGTGCTATCACCATCATTATCGTTATTATGACATTCAAATCTCTTAAAATTGACCAAACTTACCTTTACAACCTTACCTCCAACTATGCTTTGTTAAACTCCCAAATGATTAGTTGTTCCCCATGCATGCTCTTTTCCACCTTCACTGTCTCCTCTACCTAGAATGCCCTACTCCTTTCTACAAATCTATCCTTTAAACCCAGCTGAAATATTTACTTTTACTCTGCCCTGATCTCCTTAAGGAGCTCTGGTGGTACAGTGCCTAAGGCATTTGACTGCTAACCAGAAGGTTAGCAGTTCAAACCCACTAGTAGCTCCACATAAGGAAGATGGGGTAATCTACTTCTGTAAAGATTTACTACCTTGGAAACCCAACAGGGGTCATTATGAGTCAAAACTGACTCAATGGCAGTGGGTTTGGTTTTTGGTTGATTCTCCTTGGCTAAACATGACCTACCTATCCAAACTCCCATAGCACATTATCTGTACTTCTTTGATAAGACTCAATCATTTTCCCAATTAAAACAGAAGGTCTTTAATAGTAGGGTCCAGGGATTTCCTAATTTTTGAGTTTCTAACAATATGTACAACAGATTGCCATCAAACGTCTCAAAAGCAGCTGGAAGCCAGAAGACACTAGTTTCAAGATTCTAATTTTTAACCTAGCATTCTATCCCAGTCAAATCAAACAAATATGAAAGTAGAATACAAAGAGGTTCAGACTTAAAAGGGTTTTAAATTTTATATCCAGTACATCCTTTTTTTTATCAAGCTACTAGATGTTCTCCAGCCAAACTTAAGAAGAAACCATGAAGAAAGTAAAAAGACAAGGCACACAGGAAACAGTGAATTACACACAAAAGAGTTATAAAGACCAGTCCCAAGACAGCAACTATGTAGCAGGTCTAAAAAACACAGCACAATGGGAGAGATGGCAGGGAGGGGAGTAGGGAGTAATAGATTATCTGATGCATTTGGACAATTAAAAAATAACATTAGAGACTTCCCCTAAAATGGAGAAATAGACAAGTGACATACACCCTCTTCAACAAAGAAAAGAAAAACCAATTGACAGAGATACAGAAGATAATCCTAGAGCCCTGAGCTTTGAAAGGAACTATACAGAAGTGGATTAGGCACCAACTAGTGGAAAAACCTGAACGAAAACAGTGAGTACAGAGATGGTTGGAGCTGGGGACTGTCAGCTACTCTAACGAGACGAGACCAACAGTCTGAATATTTCCAACTGGTGTTGGAACCTAAGAATTGACCTAAAGATCAGCCCTGGTCACCAAGGGCTGCAGGGATGACTGCACTGGCTGCCTATGACTAAGAAGGGAAATAGCAAGGAGGAAGACTACCTGAGATGTAGATTTTCCACTGTCTGGAGGACGCAGCCATTTTGATTGTTTACACACAGCAGCCATTTTGGATATTTAAAGTGATTGAGGACACAGCCATTTTGAATGTTTATAAGTGACAGCCATTTTGGATATTTAAAGTGACCAAAGGTGCAGCCATTTTGAATGTTTACAAGCGGTGGTCATTTTGGATATTTAAAGTGACTGAGGGCACAGCCATTCTGAATGTTTACAAGCAGTGGCCTTTTTTGATATTTAAAGTGACAGGGCACAGCCATTTGAATGTTTATAAGCAGTGGCCATTTTGGTTATTTAAAGTGACCAAGGGCACAGCCATTTTGAATGTTTACAAGCAATGTCCATTTGGGATATTTCAAGTGACCGAGGGCACAACCATTTTGAATGTTTACAAGTGGTGGCCATTTTGGATATTTAAAGTGACTGAGGGTGCAGCCATTTTGAATCTTTACAAGCGGCAACCATTTTGGATTTTAAAGTGATAGCATTCTCACTCGGATTCCAGGGACTTAAGAATAGGCTCTGTTTGTCAAGTTCGGCAGGGACATACGAGAGGCTGACAACAGGAAAGGAGACAGGTGGTGAGTGTTTAAGTGCTGTCAACTAGCAAATACGGGAGCACAGTACCCTGCTTGTGTAGATAACATACAAACAAAACAAAGAATACAAAAATCATGGGCAAGTCACTCCAACATACAATCACCAATTAAATATAAACACAAAAACGTCACAATGCCTCAGAGACAACAGAGCATCACAGTCCACACATAGAAGCAAGATAAAGCAGAGAAACAAGGGACCAGGATACAGACCCAAAACACATCCCTGAGGAAGACGCAGTATTGGAACTCCCTGGTAAGGAATTCCAAAGAATTATATTTAGGTATCTTCAGTGAATTGAGAGACAGATCAAGGAAAACACAGAGAAAACCCAAGAACAATTTCAAAAGACAATACAAGAACAAAATAACAAAATAAATGAAAATTAGAAATGATACAAAATCTACACACAGAAATCCAGAAGATTAATACTAAATTTTCAAGAATAAGTAAGACACTGAATGGGCAAAGGAGCAGAACTGAATCAATGGAATACAGAATCAGTGAGATTGAAGGCAAATGCCTGAACACTTCTTTAGAAAGGGATCAGTCAGAAAAAAGATCAAAATAAAATGAAGAAAGCCTAAGGTTCATGTGGGATACCATCAAAAGGAATAACCTATGTGTAATCAGAATTCCAGAACAGGAAGAGACAAATAAAACCACAGAGAAAATTGCTGAAGATTTCTTGGAAGAGAATTTTCCTGGTATGATGAAAGATGAGAATATATCCATTCAGGAAGTCTAACGAACCCCAAACAGGACAGACCCCAAAAGAAAATCACCAAGAGATAGCATCATCAGACTTACCAAAAACAAAGACAAAAAGAATCATGAGAGCAGCACAGGAAAAACAAAAAGTTACCTACAAGGGGCAACCAATAAGACTAAGCTTGGATTTCTTGACAGAAACCATGCAGGTGAAAAGACAATGGGATGGTATATATAAAACCCTGAAAGAGAAAAATTTCCAACCAAGAATTACGTACCCAGCAAAATTGTCCCTCAGATACAATGGTGAAATTAAGCAGAAATTAAGGGAATTTGTTAAAACCAGACCAACCTTACAAGAGATGCTAAAAGGAGCCCTTTGGACAGAGAAAAAACAACAGCTAATAACAACTGACCATTAACACACATGATGATATAACCCAGAAACCAACCCAGCTATGGAAGTATCCAAAGTAAATAAGCCTACAAGATTGTAAACGGGGAACCAGAGATATCAATTGACAAATGTGGACAAATGTAGCCTGGTTGAGTGGCTGGGTAGCTGGTGGTAGTTATTCCCTATGATGAGACTACAAACCAAAAAGAGGGAAAAACTGTGTCATTACAGAACTTCTAGATGGTAGGGAAGTCAAGACAATTACAAGATAAAACAGACTGTTCTAAACATAGAAAGAAAACTATAAATCACAGGATAACCTCAAAGAAAAATAGTAAATCTTCACATCAAAAAAGATGACCACCAAAAATATTTAGCAAATACTAAAACAATAGCAATGAAGGAAATGATAGCATGATTCATAGCTCAGCATAGAAAACTATATGGAACAAAGAAATCGACACCATGAAAAAGCACATAACAAAAATGACAGCAACGAATTCATATTTGCTGATAATTACATATCTGGCAAGGAATTTATCGCTAAGATTTATAGCAAAAGAGTGGATGACTAAACTATGGTACATACACATAATGGAATGCTATGCAGCACTAAAGAATAATGTAGAGTCTGCAAAACACCGCATAATATGGATGAACTTGGAGGACACTATGCTGAGTGACATAAGTCAATCACAGAAGGACAAATATAGCATTAGTTCGTTGTTGTTGAGGGTCAAGGAAAGGTTTATATAAGGAAAGAAACTTTCTGTGTTGGTTGCCAGGGGTGGGAGGGGAGGAGAGGGAACACTGGTGGCGTATTGCCCGAGGCATTTGACTGCTAACCAGAAGGCTGAGAGTTCAAACCCA